TCTCATAATAATGTCATTTCAAACCTGTGTGACTTACATTCTTCTGTGTTCCATACACTGAAAGAATAAAGCGGTTTACTGTTGTTCATACAGGTCAAACTAGTTTTGTTTTTAGTTTTGTTTTTTCACAAATAAGAGTTTAATTTAATCGTGTTTGCTCAATTGTGAATGACTACAGCTCTACATACAGTAAGAATGCTTAAGGTATGACCAACCTTAATATGGAACATTATTGAGAAACCAGGCTAGGAATAGTTCTCATTCTATTTCACGCAAAGTGTTTGTCTTGAAATGTTAACCAAACCCATTAAATGAAAATTAGAAGGGAATTAGAATTTAGTAGGAATTTCACATCACAGGTGTTTCAAAAATCATTAATTGCCATTTAATTTTTTTATTAAAGTTAATCCACATGCAAACTCAAATAAAATCTGACACAAGACCAAAAAACAAATCAGTCGTCACTTTAGAGTAAGCCTACTATAAAATTGATAACATTTTTGAGCACTTGACTACAGTGTGTAAACTAACATCACTCTTGTGAAAAAATAAGTACACTTTAGCATAATTTTAAAAAGAGTACTTATTATGTAAATAACATCATTTAAAAATAATGTACTTAAGTACAAACTGAATGTAATTTTTTTTTTGGACACTTAGTTGCATGTTACTTGGAATTAAATGAAAATGAATGATTGTTTACGTTAAACTTTATAGTGTTTTTTAATTGCCATTTAATTTTTTTATTAAAGTTAATCCACATGCAAACTCAAATAAAATCTGACACAAGACCAACAAACAAAACAAAAAACAAATCAGTCGTCACTTTAGAGTAAGTCTACTATAAAATTGATAACATTTTTGAGCACTTGACTACAGTGTGTAAACTAACATCACTCTTGTGAAAAAATAAGTACACTTTAGCATAATTTTAAAAAGAGTACTTATTATGTAAATAACATTTAAAAATAATGTACTTAAGTACAAACTGAATGTAATTTTTTTTTTGGACACTTAGTTGCATGTTACTTGGAATTAAATGAAAATGAATGATTGTTTACGTTAAACTTTATAGTGTTTTTCGACCCACTTAAGAGGAACTTAAGTACGTCTTATATGTAATTTCATAATTACTTCTATTGTCATTTAAATATGCGGAATGTAGTGCAAATATATTATTTTCTTTAGATGTGTTATGACCCACTTAAGAGGAACTTACAGTAAGTACGTCTTATATGTAATTTCATAATTACTTCTATTGTCATTTAAATATGCGGAATGTAGTGCAAATATATTATTTTCTTTAGATGTGTTAAACCATTGCAAGAAATAATGCCATTAATAGTACATCTCCCAAATATGTGCTTAAGTGACTTTGAATAAACAATGATTGTAAAAGTACTCTGTACACAGATGTGAAATACAGTACATTACAAATGCATTAAACGCATACTGTACTTCTCTCATAAATGCTACTGTCAATAATGTAATGTAGGAAATTGACATTCTTGTAGATCAATTTTTAAAAAAGTGCTGCTGAGGTTGTATAAGTTTCTCACTCACAAACTTAAAAGAACTAAAGTGTTTTATTATTATGTTTGTTGTTGTTATTATTAATATTATTGTTTTGTAGACATACAAAAGTGGTATACTCAGGGTTTACTGCATAAAATTGTATTGATGTTTAGAAGAATTAGTTTTTTTAAATTTCAATGGGATGCCATTCCAAACTTGCATGACTTACTGTCTTTAGCGTTTCATTCATGGAAAGATGTTCATACAGGTCAAACTCGTTTAGTTTTGTTTTTGTCTTCATGAGTGAGAGGTTAATTTAATTGCATTTTTGCTAAATCTTGTCAGTTAAACTTTAGCTCTACATACAGTATGAATGCTTAAGGCATGACTGACATTAAAATAGAACATTATTGAGAAACCAGGCCAAGAATACTTTCATTTTCTATTTCTTCAAAGACTGTTTGTAATTGTGCAACTGTAACCAAACACATTTAAAACTTAAAACAACTTAAAAATTTAAAATTTAAAACAGTATGACCTAACAAACACTGGGTGTTTTTTTCAAATTCTGAACTGTCATTTAAAGATTTAATTAAAATTTTACTCCACACACAAACTCAAATAAAATCTGACACAAGACCAAAGAACAAATCAGACTGCCACTTAGGAGCAAGCTTGCTATCAAACTGATCAAATTCTTGAGCACTTCACTAAAATATAAACTAACATCAACCTCCTGGAAAAAAGGTCACTGACAATTTTAAAAAGAGTACTGAAATATACTTTAAAATAATATTAAATGTGAACTTAATATAATGTTTTTGTATGCTTATTGCATGTTGATTGCAAATAATGAAACTGTATAATAGTTTACATTTATATTAAATGCAATTTGACCCACGTAAGTACTTAAGTACATGTTTATAAGCAATGTCATAATTAATTCTGTAGTTACTGCTGATGAATGTACCATCTCTGATGAAATCGTCCGTATTTTCTCTGCATTAGTGCTGTTTTGAACTTATTACTTATTACTAATGCATTCCCTTACTGGATTCTTGAACTTTCCAAGAAGTTTACTGGTATCAAATGGACCTCCTGGGTAGTGTGCTTTATAGTGTCATTTCTAATCACTCACTGACACTGATGCTTTACAACAGGTGTAACACGTCAGAAGTGCCGCGGTACGCACAAAAGAGTGCCAGTATAGAGAGTTACTGCTGCTGATTGGTTATGTACTTGCTCAATGATTGATTTTGGATCTTTTTTTGTTTTGTTTTGTTTTTTTTTAAGTTACGGAGAGCAGGGACATGTGACCAAAAAATTACCTGTATAACTTATTTTACTTTTGTAGATCACAATTATGAACAATGAGTTTGGGCGGGAGTTTGATACCGCGGCTCCACCTCACGACACTACTGCGCAGACTCGGGCTCCAAACGAAACTCTACTGCGCAGACTCTGGCTACAAATTACGTAATTTATTCAAGATGGCAGCGGCCATACTGAGATGCTTTGGCTTCCCTTTTCTATAGTGGAAGGAATAGGAGACGCGTCGTCCATCTTTTTTTACAGTCTATGTTTACAACAGCTTTGAACGTGGCTCAGCCAATCAGAATCAAGGACCGTAACTATCCGTTTTATAAATCCTGGTTTATAACTGTGAATCCCGTTTCCTTCAGTTGTTCAGCTTTTTTAAAAATGTATTTATTTTTTGCAGTTTCCATTTTAGTGATAAACCGTCACATTATTCTGTCTGATTACATTTCTATAGTTCTGCAATATGACACAGGTGAGTTTTTACAACCAGTAACATTTTTTTTTTACATACAAATGCAGTCAATAGATTATTAAAGGGGTCATATGACGTTGCTAAAAAGAACATTATGTTGTGTATTTGGTGTAATGCAATGTGTTTATGCGTTTTAAGGTTAAAAAAACACATTATTTTCCACATAATGTACATTGTTACTCCTCTATGCCCCGCCTTTCTGAAACGTGTCGATTTTTACAAAGCTCATCGTTCTGAAAAGCGAGGTGTGCTGTGATTGGCCAGCTATCTAGTGCGTTGTGA